ATTTAATAAAGGTTTTTAGTTTCACACATTTAACTCTCTTCGCCCTGCTGTTCCTCCTCCACCTACTAACTTGACTGCCTCAGACTTTGCAACTCACTTCACTGACAAGATCTCTACAATCAGAGAAGAGATCTCTCATCTTTCTTCTTCCCCTTACAATACTTCCCCTAACTTCACTCCCTCTGCTGTTCTATGTTCATTCGCACCCGCTACATTGGAAGAGGTTTCTGCTCTGCTCCAGTCCTCCCGCCCCACCACCTGCTCCCTAGATCCAATTCCCTCGCATCTCATCCATACTCTGTCTTCTTCTCTTTCTCCACCTCTCACTAAAATTCTCAATCTCTCTCTCTCCTCTGGTATATTTCCATTGCCCTTCAAACATGCAACTGTAACCCCAATTCTAAAGAAGCCCAATCTTGACCCTAACTCCCCATCCAACTATCGTCATATCTCGCTACTGCCTTTTGCATCCAAGATCCTTGAAAAAATTGTGTATGCGAGATTGACAGACTTCCTCGAGTCTAACTCTCTGCTGACCCGCTTCAGTCTGGTTTCCGCGCTAAGCACTCTGTGGAAACGGCACTGACCAAAGTATCCAATGATCTACTCGCTGCAAAATCTCGTGGTCACTACTCTATCCTAATTCTCCTTGACCTGTCTGCAGCTTTTGACACTGTTGATCATCAACAGCTTCTTCTTATCCTCCGCAATATCGGTGTACAAGATATTGCTCTCTCCTGGTGCTCCTCCTACCTCTCCCAGCGTTCTTTCAGTGTTTCTTTCTCTGGCTCTGCTTCTTCTCCCCAACTCCTCTCTGTTGGTGTCCCCCAAGGTTCAGTCCTTGGTCCCCTACTGTTCTCCATCTATACTGCCTCTCTTGGTAAACTCATTAGCTCCTTTGGCTTCCAATATCATTTCGATGCAGATGACACGCAAATCTACCTGTCCTCTCCTGATCTCTCCCCGTCCCTCTTGACTAGTGTCTCTGACTGTCTCTCTGCTGTTTCTAACTGGATGGCTGCCCACGTTCTTAAACTAATCTTGACCAAAACTGAAATTCTGGTCTTTCCTCCCTCAAGTGTTGTTACTCCTGTCTATCTCCCTCCAAGTCAACGGTGTTACCATCAGCTCCACCACGCAGGCTCACTGCCTAGGTGTTCTCTTTGACTCCGACCTCTCCTTCAAGCCTCATGTTCAATCTATCACCAAATCCTGTCATTTCCATCTCAAAAACATTGCGCGCATCCGCCCCTACTTAACGCCAGATGCTACTAAGGTGTTGGTCCATTCCACTGTCCTTTCTCGCCTTGACTACTGTAATCCGCTTCTCAGTGGTCTTACGTGCTCCCAACTTGCGCCGTTACAGTCCATAATGAATGCGGCGGCGAGGCTTATCTTCCTGTCCTCCCATGCCTCACCCTACATTGGCTTCCTATAAAATATAGAGCTCAATTTAAAATTCTGGTTCTTGCCTTCAAATCTCTACATAATACTGCTCCCACCTATCTATCCTCCCTTATACACAAGTATGTCCCGTCTAGGCCCTTACGATCTGCTGGAGACTTACGTCTATCTTCTGTTCGTACTCCCACCTCTGATGCTCGCCTTCAAGATTTCTCGAGGGCTGCACCGTTCCTGTGGAACTCGCTTCCCTCCTCCGTTAGATGCTCACCCAGTCTCCACTCCTTCAAAAAATCGTTAAAGACCCACTTCTTCATAAAAGCGTATCCATTAAACTGTTAATAGCTCCTGACTGATTCCTCTTCTGCAACTGTCACTAGTCTAATACTATCCTTACCTTTTTGTGTCATTTTACCCCACTCCCTCTAGCATGTAAGCTCATTGAGCAGGGCCCTCAACCCCTCTGTTCCTGTGTGTCCAGCTTGTCTGGTTACAACTACATGTCTGTTCGTCCACCCATTGTAAAGCGCTGCAGAATTTGACGGCGCTCTATAAATATGATAATAATTTATTTTATGTAAATCAAATCTGCATTTCTCAGTAAAGGAATATTAGAAGCACCATAAAAAGTACAATGTATTGGTTATGGTGCCAGGAGTACTCTGGCACTCTCCTAGAGTTAGTAGTCAACCATTTGCAAATATTTTAACAACTTACCAGAGACACATTGGATGCCGGTCACCTCCCTCAGGAGACCCACAAGCTTTCTCAGCTAGCCCTGCAGCACAGAACTTAGCACATTGGCTGACACTCTGGACGTAGCTCAGGGGTCTTTCTTCACGTGTTGTTGTTTTTTTTAGATTATGATCATTTTATTATTATGATTATTTTCATAAAATCCAGCTGGGGATTAATTTTGTAGGAACCTTAATAAAATAGTTCTGCTGGTTTGAGAGGTAGATTCCAGTCAATATTTGTACAGTAAAGAAAATGTCCATGTGTGCATTCAAATAGCCCATTGACCTAACTTCTGCTTTTACAAAAATCTCTTAAGTTTTATTTAAAATGTAGCTTTTTCAAGATTTCTGGTGTATTGCCCCTATTTATACCATGTCCGCTTCACTCACAGCTCCTGCTTGTTTCTATGGCCATTAAAAATGTGAGAAGCATTACCAAAATGAAATGTCGATATTTACATTATTCTAATACAGGAAGTAATGTTTCAGACTGTCATAGTTCCCCTTCTTGGCGGCTTCATTCTTCATGTGACTGAGGCCTACCCTCTAAGCACAATAACCACTATAGCACACATTAGTGGTGATAAGTTCCTCGAGTGCCGTGGCACGGCTTAACATCTGTCAAACTGATTAATGGTTTGACACTTACCTGCCGCTTTCAGGTGCCTGCGGATATTCCAGTCTGTGCTGATATGGTAGGGGGGCGTTCGTAGCCTCAGCTTTCAGTCGGTGAGTAATGTCCAGGTTTGATGGGGATGATGATATGGACACGTGAAGTTACACTTTGCCTAAGCAGCTCAGGTCGGAAGGATCGGGGAGCCTGACAGTCAGATTAGTGTATAACCTTTCTTAAACGGCTGACGGTTTACTGTTGGGTCACACCAGGAGATCCTGTAGTGGTTATGTTTATTAGTGTAAAAAGCCCTATCTAAGCATTCCTACATACACCATGCTCCACGAGGGGTGTTTGTCCCTGTGCACCCTCCCATACATGAACCACTGGTGCCTGTAGGACCAAAAATGAATTTCTGTTGGTTGTTAAATTGATATTAGGTAGCTTCTCTTTCAGTAGCGTGACATTGGCGAGCCGAAGAACATGGCCACATCTACTGATCGCCTGCGTTCACTGGCTCTTATCTTGGTCTTTATTCCATACAGAAACCAGGCTAATCGAGATCCATGCGCTTTGTGAACTGCATTGTGAAATTATTCGCGAGTACAAAGAATATTCCCACCCTTTCTTTCGCAAGCACTTTATTCGCATGTAAAGGATTTCAGCAAACGAGTGTTATTTCTGAATCTTTGTTGAGTTGTTTTTTTGATAAGGCTCTCATCAGAGATGGATGCTTAGGCCTGACTTCTTTAGCAGTTACACTGTGTTTAACCTCTCTTAAAGAGAATTTTGTACATTAGTGCCAAGGTACGGGACCAGAAACACACTCTATCATCTCCTGTAATCGAATTCTCCTTCTCCGCAGGAAGTGTCCAACAGCTGTAAAGATAGCGGTTTATTCACTAACCCGGGTACTGGAGAGAGAACTTGCAAACAAATTGCTAAGTCTAAGTAAAAGTAGCGTGGCTGTTTTCCAGTACTGTAATTTTAGCCCAGTAGGGAGCAGGAGTCCTGATTTGTTGGAACCTCTCTGTGATTCTGGAACTACCAATACTCTCTCTTTATATGAAATATCCTGTATGTCCAGTCTCTTTATACAGAGAATCTCCCTACATTCACTAATTCAGAAATTCTAACGGGACATATAGTTCTACAAATAATCCAGAAGCTGGTGTCTAGCTATGCATCGAGGGTGCTCTACTAAGGACTAGAGATGCCAAGAAGGGGTTGAATAATTTTGAAACTGGAGAAGTAGTTATAAATTGCATTTTCAGTTCAATTTGGGGAAACCACTTGAAGCATTCATTGCAAAAAGTCTGTACATTTTGACAACAAACCTGATTTTCAATGGGGGTTGAATAAGTTTCATTATAACTTACTGCAGCATTTTTCCAATTCACGTTGAGTTCCCACACACTCAGTGAATAACCTTCTTATGGTACCATAGAGCCCTTACTGATCAGTTTACGGATTAATTAATATGCGGACATGGAAAAGATCTTTTTTTTTTTTTTTTTAAGGGTTCAGCCCAAGCATGTTTATTAAAGATTGGTTATATTCAATAAAATGTTATATCATACTATATATCCAAACCCTACAACAGTAATTGAAATTTAATTGTAGAACATTTTCTTCTTCATGACCAATTCTGTTTTGATTTAAAAAATATATATTTTTTTTTATTCTTTATTTTTCGTTACGCAGGGGTTAATACTCATTTGATAATGCCACAACAGCGTAGTCCAACGTGAAAATAGAAACAGGTTTTGAACATACATGGCATGGAAGTAACTGCACATTTTTTAAATATTTAAGCAAGCTTATATATGCGCTTCTACAGTTTCTATACAATAAATCTTTGTGTTACATAATGTGTCAATAGGTATGTTGGTATAAGTGTTAATGGAAACAAGCTAGGTAACTGACCTATTGTTAGCCATAATAATAGATTATAACATGAGTAATGTAAAGAACACATCAGTATTGAGTTAAGGGGGGACAGGACATTTTCATGCTGTGTTGACTGACAGTTCTGTTAATGATGTTACCACCAAGTACGAGATATTAGGAGACACACATGTGAGTATGGTTTTACATGAGACAGATTAGGTAAATTGGAGGGCAGTGGACATACCAGGTAAAGCAGGGCTGTACATATTGTGGTGAGAGTGTACATGTTAAGAATGGCAATTGGACAGCAGTATTACAAGGCCATTAACAGACCCAGTGTCTTCTCACATATAAATGTCTCAGCCTATGCCCGTGGCAGTCAGGCCAGGTCCAGATCGCACCATAGGGGGGCATAAATCTTCAAACTTGTCTCTCTGGGTCCTTGTGTCGGCTTGAGCTAGTATTTCCCGCCAGGGGTCGGCAGGAGAGTCAGAGTCTCTATGGGTTCCATGTCCCGCTGCCGCCTGCCTCTCCGCTGCACAAAGGTGATTTCTCTGTGGTTTATGGGGCTCCCTTTTTACATGACGGCGTGGGCCGCGTGTGGCCCGGTGGTGCCAGAGATGTGCTAGTTTTGCAGAGTGTTGCTTTGCACCTGTGTCGGTCCGCCTGGGTCTCATCCGGCGCCAGTTTGTGGCACCATTCCACTTTGGAAGAGTCTTTGACCGCTGGGCTGCAGGAGGTGGGTGTAGCTTCAAGGCTGTGCTGCATTGCCTCTCCCTAATCTTTTGCCAAAAGGCTTCGAAGAGTAAGTCCAGTTTCATTAGGGTTGCTTCTGTCGCATCATACGACGGAGCAGCAATGTCGTCGGCCATTTTTTGCAAACGGCGTCGGAGCTGTTTGTGCGGTGCTCGCCTGGGTGAGTTTCGAGCACTATCTTGGTGGGGTCCGGGATAACCCACACCGGAACACGGGGGGGGGGGGGAACAGGGCTCTGGTAGCACCCTCGGCAAGCCCGGTCCGGTCCAGAGGATCGGCCGCCTCCTCCACCAGGCCCCAGGCTAGGCCTCGAGTGCTGTCCGCCGGCCGACGCAGGCCAAAGCTAGATCTCGGTCTGCTGATTACTTGTAGAGATGCCCAGGAGTCTCTGGATGTTGGTTGTGCGCCTGGAGGGGCTATAAAGTCGTGAAATTGGGCTTTAATGTGAGTCTTGGTCAGGAGCCGATGTGAGTTGCGTCCGCTCGGCTTGGCGGTCAGGCCCCGCCCCTCCGAAAAGATCATTTTAAATGTTAGGCCAAAATAGTGAATTGGAGTACTTCTTGGAACTCATACATTTGTTTCCTTCTCGAATATTTTGGATTTAAATTAGCAGTTCCCAATGTGTTGATTGGCTAAGGGGTCTCTGTCACATGGACGCAGCCAGGCGACCGCTGGCGCTCACTTACTATGGTTGCCATTCACATATACAGATAATATTAAAGCAGACGTTTGGGGTTATGGTACGGTGTGCTTTCAGCAAACTGATTGAAAACTGTTTTACTATAAGCGTAAAGGCTGCTCCTATAACCCATAACTTACATTGGTTATGGGGCTGTCGGTGTCCATTTAAATAAAAGGAAATAAATCCAACTTTGACTTTTTTGTATCCTTGAGGTTTGTGACTTCCGTTTATTTTAAAATCTAAAGCATAGAAAAAATGAGTCCCAGATCTTGTCTAACGTTTGCGTGTTTTATTTGCTTGTATTGTGTAGCTGCGGGACGATGAATGTTTGTTATAAGCCTTTCATTGCTCTGTGTGTCTGGATCTCAGGAGGTTATTAATGGAACAGACAATGACACGGTCCTTATTATAGTTTGTACGTTAAAAATAATTGGACTCTGTAGTAAATAATCCTTGCGTGTCTGTGTTTTCAGAACGCGCTGTGAGATATAAAGACTAAATTCAGAAAGAGAGGTTAATAGTTTGTTGTCTATTTTGGTATCTGATTCTATTAATATAGGTGCTGTGATTCCATTTTGGTACGGGTTATATAACAAATTCCAAAACACAAGCCATGACACACAATACAAAATATCACAAAAAGATTCAAATCCTCCTCCTTCCTACAATCACCCCGATTCCCCTGCTGCAGTTAATCTGAGAATATAATAAACGGATCCAATCTGATCTGGAAATGTCTCTTTAAAGCACCAGTGCCTGGATAGAATATGATCTGCCTAGTTCTTGCTAGTTTTTCCGTGGCACCTTCCCATGTTTCTTATTACATGACATAGTTCAGAGCACCTACGTGGACCAATATACAATGCAGATTAGTGTTTTTTATTTTATTTATTAAGCAGGATAAATGAGTCTTTTTAAGTTTTCAGGAGTGCTATTGTTGTGGAGCTCTGTGATACCCTCATACACACTGCCCATTACTGTGAGTTTTATTACTGTGGAGCTCTGTGATACCCTCATACACACTGCCCATTACTGTGAGTTTTATTACTGTGGAGCTCTGTGATACCCTCAGACACACTACACATTACTGTGAGTTTTATTATGGTGGAGCTCTGAGACACACTGCACATTACTGTGAGTTTTATCGCTGTGGAGCTCTGTGATACACTCATACACACTGCACATTACTGTGAGTTTTATTGCTGTGGAGCTCTGTGATACCCTCAGACACACTACATATTACTGTGAGTTGTATAGCTGTGGAGCTCTGTGATACTCATACACACTGCACATTACTGTGAGTTTTATTACTGTGGAGCTCTGTGATACCCTCATACACACTGCATATTACTGTGAGTTGGATGGTTGTGGAGCTCTGTGACACACTCATACACACTGCACATTACTGTGAGTTGGATGGTTGTGGAGCTCTGTGACACACTCATACACACTGCACATTACTGTGAGTTGGATGGTTGTGGAGCTCTGTGACACACTCATACACACTGCACATTACTGTGAGTTGGATGGTTGTGGAGCTCTGTGACACACTCATACACACTGCACATTACTGTGAGTTGGATGGTTGTGGTTTGTGACACACTCATACACACTGCACATTACTGTCTGCACATGTTTGTCCCTTCCCCACAATGCTCCCTGAATGCAGTAATGAGAGGCGTAGCGTTGCATCATGTGACGTCCCTTTAAGCTCTGGCCACCATAGGTGTGTATGCTGAGGACAGCGACATGTCGCCCCGGCTGGAATAGCAGATGTCCTCACCACTGACTGTCCCTGTTTCCTTGTCATTTTACAAAGCGTCAAGTAAAGGATTTGGTTAAACTCATTTGGTGATAGTCAGATGTATAACAAGTGCAGTCTAAAAATAACGCAGGTATTATTCCTTCTCGTAAACTAGCACATTGCGTCCCCTAGGACTGGCTGACCCAGATTTCACTCTGATGGAGACACTTTTGGGCAGTTGACGGGCAGCAGTTTGCATGGTGACTGGAACCTATCAATCCTGTCCCCAAATACGGACACATGGACGATAACACAGAGTTTCCACCCAGGACGCTGGATGCTATTATTACTCTTCTCACTTAAATCTCCCTGGTCTGGCAATGGAGGGGTTACTGAGCCGAAACTTGTCTCATTTTAGGATAGTAAGAGCATCGGCACTCCTAATTACAGATTGAAAGTTAATATTTCCCAGAGATTCAGTCTTTCCGATCATAAGATCTGACAGAGAGATTTTCATTAGGTCAGCGCCCATTTTTTCAGTGATGGCTGATTCTGCAAGGGCTCGCTCTGGGACTGGGCACTGGCCCACCTTACAGTGCATTGTGGGATATTGTGGGCTAAGGCCTTCACTGAGCCATCTTTTACATCACAATGTCAGCGGGGTTTGTCACTAAACAATCAGCCTGTCAAATGTAGGTTTAAAATATATAAGTTGGGTTGGAAAGAATATCTCGGGATGTTTTCGTTTTTTAATATAGTGACAGCCCATAGAGAGTAGTTCAGTTAATTTCACTCAAGGCGTAAGATCTTCTCCGGCTTCTCCTAATTCATTATACGTTCTGTGTTCATCCAAGCATCGTCCCATCTGGGGCTCCCATCTCTTTCTTCACATCATGGGACAAAGTGTGGTATTCCTGTGTAACGTGTCTCTCAGGCTTGTCTGATGGCTGTGTGCAAATAAATGGTTAATAGTCTGTATATTTGCTATCTGGTATTTTATTCACTGGGGTCAAATGAAAAATGAATTGCTGCTTTTAATATGCTGTTTGTAACAGTAACTTAGAAATAACGCTAAATAACAAAGTCTTTCTAACAAGCCCTATTTATTAAAGGAACACTAACGTATATTCCAGACCCTGTAGTGTTCATATTGATAATGTAGGATGTCACTGGCGCCGTGTAACAGCGATCGTATTGATAATGTAGGATGTCACTGGCACAGTGTAATGGCGATCATATTGATAATGTAGGCTGTCACTGGCACAGTGAAATGGCGATCCTATTGATAATGTAGGATGTCACTGGCGCCGTGTAACGGCGATCATATTAATAATGTAGGCTGTCACTGGAGCAGTGTAATGGCGTACATATTGATAATGTAGGATGTCACTGGCGCCGTGTAACGGCGATCGTATTGATAATGTAGAATGTCACTGGCGCAGTATAATGGCGATCATATTAATAATGTAGAATGTCACTGGCGCAGTGTAATGGTGATCGTATTGATAATGTAGAATGTCACTGGCGCAGTATAATGGCGATCATATTAATAATGTAGAATGTCACTGGCGCAGTGTAATGGGGATCGTATTTATAATTAGAATGTCACTGGCGCAGTGTAATGGGGATCGTATTGATAATGTAGAATGTCACTGGCGCAGTATAATGGCGATCATATTAATAATGTAGGATATCACTGGCGCAGTGTAATGGCGATCATATTAATAATGTAGGATATCACTGGCGCAGTGTAATGGCGATCATATTAATAATGTAGGATGTCACTGGTGCAGTGTAATGGCGATCATATTAATAATGTAGTATGTCACTGGCGCTGTGTAATGGCGATCATATTAATAATGTAGTATGTCACTGGCGCTGTGTAATGGCGATCATATTGATAATGTAGGATATCACTGGCGCAGTATAATGGCGATCATATTAATAATGTAGGATGTCACTGGCGCAGTGTAATGGCGTTCATATTGATAATGTAGGATGTCACTGGCGCAGTGTAACGGCGATCATATTGATAATGTAGGATGTCACTGGCGCAGTGTAACGGCGATCGTATTGATAATGTAGAATGTCACTGGCGCAGTATAATGGCGATCATATTAATAATGTAGAATGTCACTGGCGCAGTGTAATGGGGATCGTATTGATAATGTAGAATGTCACTGGCGCAGTGTAATGGGGATCGTATTGATAATGTAGAATGTCACTGGCGCAGTATAATGGCGATCATATTAATAATGTAGGATATCACTGGCGCAGTGTAATGGCGATCATATTAATAATGTAGGATATCACTGGCGCAGTGTAATGGCGATCATATTAATAATGTAGGATGTCACTGGTGCAGTGTAATGGCAATCATATTGATATTGTAGGCTGTCATTGGCGCAGTGTAATGGCGATCATATTGATAATGTAGGATATCACTGGCGCAGTGTAATGGCGATCATATTAATAATGTAGGATGTCACTGGCGCAGTGTAATGGCGATCATATTGATAATGTAGGCTGTCACTGGAGCAGTGTAATGGCGTACATATTGATAATGTAGGATGTCACTGGCGCCGTGTAACGGCGATCGTATTGATAATGTAGAATGTCACTGGCGCAGTATAATGGCGATCATATTAATAATGTAGAATGTCACTGGCGCAGTGTAATGGTGATCGTAT